TAAATACAAATGCATTACAGGATGTACTTAGCACGTGAATCAATATAAAAATCAAGTCATTTTCCTTTACTTAATCTCTTAAAGGCTAGTGACTAATTTTCCACTAATTATAGCAAACAAAATGATAATGCAAGGTTGAGCCAAAGCCAGTAAGTATATACAAAATGAGTAATTAATGTAATTGGTCCAATGAAAACTACTGTAGAAGTGTAATTATGATCAAACAGCAATAGACTGAGTGCAGTTTTGTCTAAGTTCTATGCATTTCCCTGACTTCATACCTTGATCAGAGATGTCAAAATAGCCCATTTAAATTATTTTCTATTACCCCTCCAGCATGTTAGGTAGTCTTTCACTCTAATAAAATCTTGGGGGAGACCTTTTAAAATTTGCATCAGAGAAGCTTGAATAAGGGTTGCACAAGAGTGATTCTGAAGAGAAACAGTGTAAAAACAAGAACGGGGTCTTAGCTGGAAAAATATGTTAACCCAAAAATATTACTGCTATCAAACTGGCCAATATCTGATGTCCTAATGACGTGTTTATTTCTTCCTACTTCTATCTAACCCATTTTTCAATGTACCTTAAGATCTTTAAAGCAATCAGAATAGGTCTTTAATTTACTCTATTTTGTTTAAAAGCAGTATATCTAGCAGAAAGCACAATTTTACGTCTCAGCAATCCCAAATGCAACCTAGTCTCCATATAGTAGAGCAGAATGTGGACAAAAAGAAAAACTAAGATCTATTTATAACATAAGTAACAGAAATCCATAACAGCTTCAGGACACTTTACCCATTTTAATTAATGCTCATGATATTCTTACAATAGACATTATCATCCCTATTTTACAGATAAAGGTAGAAAAATTACATGACTTGACAATAGATTCACAATTCATATGAGAGCCTGAACCAGAAACTCAATCTCCTGACACTCTGCACTTAAATGCTGTGAACTTTGCTTCCTTCAAAACAATGTTCTGCAAGTCACCGGACTCAAGTTCAGTTTATATTTCTAAACTGGAAAAGAGAAAAAAAGAACACACACACACACAAAAAAAAGTTGTCTACAAACTCTATAAAGATGAACAATTTAAATTATTGCAATGCTTCTCTTCATTCAACATCAGGCAGTTTACTTAGTAAATATCAATGTAGCATGTACACTAAAGAGGTGTGTATTTTCCTCACTGTGATGTATCTTAGTGGAAGAAAACATTTCTAAAAATGCCTTCACATGTAGACTCATAAATATTTTAATGTGTGAACAATCAACTAGCATTTAGAAAATTTATTTTTGGTATTTTTTTTTTTTAAGCAATAATGGTAATTTGGAATTTTGGTAATTATGTTTTCCAATTATGAAGGCAGTACCTTTATTATTAAAAAATTACTATACAGTGTCCAAACCAGAAATATTACTAAGCTATCCAGATGCCCAAAAAATCCTACATTAATTCTGAAAGCATTAAATTAATTCATATGGGGTAGCAATAAACTAGATGAGCAAAATACAACAACAGATTGTTAACATCTGGATACCAAAATAAAACACCCAGCTTCCATTTCAAATATATATTTTTAATAATACTGGTCTGTTATAAACATTTCAAATTGCAATAAAACTTTTTAAATGTTTTAGATACATAATTTGTATTGTGTTATGGCAGGGTTATAAGGGACTAATAAAATCCTACTCCCTATATTGATGGGTATTCTACTGAAAGTGATCCTAAAATCTAATTCTTACTGAGGGATTATATGCCACAAAAGTGCTGGTACGTAAGCCTAAACATCTATATCTACATGTTGCATTTGAGTTAATGCTGATATCTTTAAAACTTTTTAAACCTTTAAAAACATATTATTCTTGTTGTTAATATTTAATATTAAAAATATTGCAATGGTAGTGAGGTGTTGAAAGACAACTGAGGGCAAACATGGCAATAGTTTTCCAATACATAAAAGGTAGTTATAATAAGGCTAAAGGTCAATTGCTTTTTATGTCCATAGGAAGAAGAATGAGAAGAAATCAGATTAATCTGAAGCAAAGAAGATTTAGGTGATATATTAAGAAAAAAGTCTATAATTGTCTGCGTACTGAAACAAGCTACATAAAAAAGACATGAAATACTTTTTAACGTGTTCAAGATCCTTTGAGGTCCCCATGAATCCTACACTTATCTGTGTCTCTTGACTTTCTTATTGTATTACGCACGAAGCACAAAACACTGACATTATTTAAAGCAAAAATGTTGGAATTATATCAAAAGGTATAAGGGTATCAAAATTATCATCCCCTAATAAAATGAAATTAGCCACCCAAGTGATGAATGTTGGTTTGTCAAATACTAACTTTAATAATATATGTTTGGTAAAAAAAAAATAGTGAGAAGAGATATTATACAAAACATCAACATTGTAATCCTCACCCCCCCACAAAAGAAAATTAAAGATTCATTTTTTTTATTGCAGGTATTGCAAATAAGCAAAATATTTTTATAAGTCATCCTTTTGGTCCTGTAAGTACATTGTACAGTAGAAATTAAATGAAACTTCAAGTTTAATCTTACACCTGATAAAGATATTTTGAAATTTTAATTTTTTTAAAAAACAGAACCAAAAATGTTTTCATGCAAATAAAATGTATCAGTTTTCTTGCAAAAGGCAGCTTTCAAAGCTTTCATCTCTCCACTTCTACGGTTTATATAAGCATAATATATTGGCTGAAAACTAGAAAAAAATTGCACTTTATCAATGGGCAGTAAGCTTTCTTCAGCAAATAAGAGGACCTAACACCAGTATTTTCTGAAGAATGTAAATCTCTTAAAAATTCTATCCTTTATGGTTGGAAAGATGAGCTTACAAATTTGAACAACATACGAACAAAGCAAATGTTGTTAGAAATGTTGGGGAGAAGTCAAATATTAGGGAACTGTATCCAGGTTCCTGACTACTTCAAGGCGGCCAGATAGACAGGCTATCTGCATCAAAGGAGAAGACGACAGAACTAGCCAAGACTCTTCTCCCGTGCAGCAGCCAGAACTCTCAACAGACTGTGTAGAAGAGTGAAGGACCAGGCATTCACAAAAGTCAAAAGGTCCTGGAAGAGGAACAAGAAACAGAAAACCGCTCCAACGTTCCAGAAAAATTAATTATATATTAACTTGGGGCTCATAAAAAATGGAACGTATGGTAGAAATAAAACTTCGGAACACTGTCACACAGCTAAGGAGGTAGCAGAAGTATCACTGAATGGACTCCTTTCTGGAGCTTTATCCTTGTACCTTGCTAGGAGGACTCCAGCTTTTCATTCACATTAGCTTCATAGGGGATTTTGACCTCCAGGTAAAAGCAGGGTAAATATTTCAATGCCCACAACTCTTAAATATTAGAGAAAAATGTGTATTTGAACACAGCTTTGCTTTAATAAGCTATTTGACATCAGTGACTTCCTAGGTTTCTAGATGCTGCAAGATCCAGCCAGTGATTCTCAACCAGGGTACCATGGGATGCCTTGAAAACCTTGCAAGAGCACAATGGGGTATCACAATGTTTGCACTAATACGTTTAAAATACAATTCAAAAGACAAACCCAGAGATTTCAAATAAAAATACTACAATATGGATTTCTTTCTTTGCAACAAAAACAACCCCTCACCCCTCATTCTAGTCTTTTTCTGCAGGCAAAAAAAGAGCGAAAACTAAGAGGTGGCATTTTCTAAGGGGTGCCTTGAATCTACTAAAGGATCTCTCAAGTCTATCCATAGGTGCCTCAAATCTAAAAAGAATGAGAACCGCTGCTCTCCCACAAGAGAGGCAGGCGATATACCAGTCTGCATAGACCCCGCATAGATATTCTCCCCCTTACCATCCACCACTTCTAATATATAAAATACTGGATTATGGACATGGGGCCTAATCCCATAAGGCATCTCTATGTTCTGTGACACTTTAAATACAACTTTTCTTTTTTAATTTGTGTTGAAAAGGAAGAATCATTTCAGTTACTCTTCAGCACTGGAAATAAAGACTGCATGTAATATACTGAGGAACTTCTAAGGTATTTAAAATAGCAATATACATAAAAAAAGATCAAAGATATTCTTATTTAAGGTCTAAACAGCCACCTTCTGTCCACATCAGTAGGCGTACCATTAAGAAACAAAGCTTAAATTGCTACATAAGCTTGTAATATCAGGCCCCAAACGTTTTTTTATGGAAATCAATTTTATATAGGCTTCAGGGCACCAAACTTAATGAGAAGCCTTCAGCTACAGTTCGTTAAGGTCATACATGATTTAATCAAGTCCCACATACAAAGTAAAAACCTTAGTCCCACTGAAGTCCAAGAAACCCTAATGTGTGGCCTCAAGCCTGTGCCTCCTCCACAAAACAGATGACTTCTTCCCCCCTTTTTTTGAAAATAATGGCCAGTATTCTTATTAACTTTAAACAAAATCCTTTGAAAAGGCTCATACTTTGTTCTGCAGCTGAGACCAATACCCATCTTACCCTATGACACTTATCTTCTAGGAAAAAAATAAGTGCCATCAGGAAGAGACTGTGACCAGTGATCTCCCAAGCTACAAACTCACTTGGGGCCGTGCAGAAGGAAGCTTCACCCACAGATGATGCAGTTAAAATCAAATGTTACAGCAAGAAAAAATAAAAATAAAGAGGGGCCCAAACGGTGCCCTCCTTTCACCCCTGACCGCCTGATCCCAGCCTTCAGGGGGCTGAAGCCGCCCTGCCACATCTGTGCAGAGGATCCCAACCGCCTCCCCTCCCCTCCTAGCGCTTATGGCACGGCCGGGCCGCAAGAAGGGACACAAGCTCCCGCCACAGAGCCGGCCGGCAGGACCCCTGCCCCACGCTACGGTGCGCGCAGAGCAGGGCAGGGCGGGCAGCGGCGAGTGCGGCGGAGCTGGTCCCAGCCCCTCTAGCCCGGGGCAGGAGGCTGGTCCCCAGTCCCGCCCCCGGCCCCGGTACCATTACCCAGCACGCCCAGCGCTGCGCCGCCATCCTGCTGCCGGACAGTTCCTGCGGGACCCGCGCAGCCTCGCGAGAACTCTGCCCCCCCATGCCTCCATTCCACTGTAAAGATCAGCTCTCTCACTTAAAACAACTTTGGAGGGCTAATTTTGGGGAAAAGGGTGTATGTGGTCCATGAATAAATATGGCATGCACCACAGGTGAATTTCTATAGCAATAGAAAAGATTTGGTAAGCACCTGGAGAACTTGCATATGTGATATAAGGTGCTGAGACACTAACAGAAACCAGCAACTTCATGATACTGAGCTAGAAACTCCAGGCCAATTATGTTTTCCAGGAGGAAGGCACTTTATAGGAGGAACTGCTTCAGAGATGGAAGGTGTTTTGGAGGCAAGAGATGTTCCACATTCAGCCGCTGTGCTGAGACAGTACAGAATGGGGAAATTTTTCATTTTGCTTTCTGTTAAGACCACTTTATTTAGCATATCTGAAACTATTGATCTCTGAACACTC